AGCTGGTCCTCCCCTATTTGGGTGGATATCATTCAATTTATTGAGGGCTCAAATAGTCAAAAAGGAGGGCCGGCCAAATAGTTCAGCAGATTAAAGGACCAGCTTAGACAGACGCAGGGACCAGGGTTCGGGACCCGGTGTGCCATGCTGGCCCCATCCCTGGGGCATGCTGAGATAGTGATTGTGACTGGGCGTGGTGGCACGTACCTGTAATCTCAACATTTGGGAGGCTGAGAACAGGAGAATCACTACAAGTCTGATCTGTGTAGTGAGACCCTGTAGACCCTGTACTAAATACATAGAAAATATAGTCAAAAAGGAAAAAGAAGGCTGAATTTGTTTTTGTCTGAGCTGGGCTACCCACCTTCTCCTGCCTTTGGACTTTGGGACTCTTGAATCTCAGGCTTTCAGACTCAGGTTGGGATCTATTTGGTTGGTACCCTTGGCTCTCCTTAGGCCTTTGGATTTGGATTGTATTAAAATCACAGGTGGCCAGGGGTCTCTAACGTACAGATGGTAGATTGTAGAACTTCTTAGCCTCCATCATCTTATGAGCCAATTTCTATTCTCTGTCTGTCTCCTATCTATCTATCTATCTATCTATCTATCTATCTATCTATCTATCTTATCTATCTATCTATCTATCTATCTATCCTACTAGTTCAGTCACTCTGGAGAACCCTATTAGGGGTTCACTAGACACCAGGAATTCCCAGGCTATTTCCTGCCACCACCGGCCTCTCTATGGTACCTGTCAGCTCCCTGATTCCCAGACAGCCCCTTCCTTTCATTGAAGTAGTAGCCTGCTTACTCCAAGTGTTGCTGCCACCCTGGAGGCGCCAAAGCTCACAGACATCAGGGTTGACAAGCTGGAGACCAAGCACTGAATCTGCCTGTTGATCTGTTTTGTTTGATCAGAATCATGGTTTATTTTCATTTTGTTGTTTTTGTGGTCTTGAGACAAGGTCTCACTGTGTATCACAGACTGGCTTTGAACTCACTATGTAGTACAGGCAGACCTCAAACTAGCAGTGATCCTCCTGCCTCAGCCTCCCAACTGCTGGGATTACAGGTGTGCTCCACCATGCCTGGTTGCAGAATCTTGTTTTCTGAAGGCCCCTAGCAGGGAAGGGACCCTGGGACTGTCCGGTCTTTAGGATATTTTCTCATCCTACTGTTCTGCTTAAGACCTCACTCCTTGTGCTCGCTTTGGCAGCACATATACTGCTAAAGATGGCGCTCCTTGCCCACACGTGTTCTTGGGTCACTAGGAGCTGTGCTGATTCTGCTTGACCAGAGCCTCCCCCCTTTGTCTTCACTTCCTGCTTATTATAAGCCTTCTCCTCCTTTTCCTCTCCGCTGAACCTAGGGCTACATCTCTGGCTCCTCTTTTTTATTTTTTGAGACAGGGTCCTGACAAATTGCTAAATTACCTAGGTGGGGCTTAAACTTGCCACCATCCTGCCTCAGCCTCCCAGAGTGCTAGGATTACAGGCATGGGCTACCACACCTGGCTTTGTTCTTCTGTTCTCTTCACAGAATCTGAGCCATGGAGCTTGCTCTGTTGCCCCCTAGTTTCTCCCAGACTGCTTTTCTTCACTCTCCATTTTCTTGCCTCTGCCTTACCAGCTCCTTCAAAAGCTCATATTTCTCTGCTCCTACTCTTATGTAAATTCTAGGATCCACCTCCAGTGGGATCTTCCTAAAAATCAAAGTTGGTTAATTATTTACTGTCCTACAAACCTCAAGAGAGACTGTCCACAAGCCACTGGACTGTGACACTAGGGATGAAGGCTCCCAGAAGGCCAGGGTGCCACACCTGTGCAAGCCTTCTCAGCCTCAGTTCCTGGTCGGGCCCCCGCCATTTCAATGAGCCTCCTCAATGAACTGGGGGGTTTAGCCACCCCCTCCCCCCAAGACTGAGTAACAGTTGTTTCTCTTATTTATTCTCTCTGTGGCTGACTCAAATATTTTTTTTTTTTTTTTTTGCGGAACCAGGGATTGAACTCAGGCCCCTGTGCTTGCCAGGCAAGCACTTATTCCACTGAGCCATCTCCCCGGCCCCTCAAATCTTATTTTAAAATCCAGTTTTCTTTTTGAAAGAGAACATAAAACAATATTTTAAAAGAAAATAATTACAAATGATACAGAGTTTCACTAAACAAAATAATATGAATTGGACAGTATTTGTTGTAATCCAGTTCTTTCTATGGGTAGATATATCTTCATGTCAAGGCTCTGAGCAAGGCCAGCATGGATGTACGGCAAACAGATAAACACTTGTTATCTCTGTGCAGGACCCGAGGCAATCAGGACTGAGGGAACGAGTTGGTCAAAGGGTACTTTAGCCTTATCTGTACAATTTCTACTTTTTGTGATATTGAGGATCAAACCCAGGGACTTACGCATGTTAGACAAGCACTCCACCACTGAGATACACCGCCTAGCCCCTCTATTTTTTTTTTTACAAGATCATATCATGTATTTATTACTTGTGAGATACAAAACAAACATTCAATACCAGAAAGCTTTCCCTAGACTTCCCAGGCAGATGGAGCTGTTTCCTCTTCTGGGATCAAATAAAACTGTTTTGTGATCTAGAAAATATTGGTTTATTGTGACTTGTTTGTGTCTATCTTTCTCCCCCTGAGATAGGAAACTCCCTCAAAGGAGGGAGTTTAATTAAGGGATTAAACTCTCTTAATTCATACTGCTCCTTAAGAGTCAGATCCAGAGCAGGTCTTGGGGAGGGGGAACGTTCACTAAAGTGCCTTCACTAGCGGCCCCTTCCACAGCGCTCACGTGAGCCTGGCTGACGTTGGCCCTGAGAGGCTGCTTCAGAGTTGTTTTCAGTGTTCAAAGAATGTTTCTCTGAGTCTGAAATGTGAGCAGCTGTCTCTAGACCACTGGGTTTTGCGCAGGGCTGCTTTGGGTCTCCACAAGGTCAGGATCTAGTGGGGTGGCATTGTTTCTGTTCCTTGGCACACTTCTGAACCACTGCTGCCTCAGCAGCTGCTTTAAGGCAAGGGATATAGCCCCCAACTTGTCAAAACCATCCTGATCTATATTTCTTTTTTTAAAAAATTATTTGTTACAGGGTGTCACTACACAGTTCAGACTTGTAGTGACCCTCTTGTCTCAGGCTCCCCATCACTGGGATTACAGGCTGAGCCACCATGCCCAGTTCTGGGGCCAGCATGGTATTCAGTACTGGGGACCAAACCTGGTCCTTGTGCTTGCCAGGCAGGTGCTTATACCACTGAGCTATCTCCTGGCCCTTTTTTGTCTTTTTGAGGATCTCACTATACAGTTCAAGCTACCCTTGAACTCACTTTGTAGCCCAGGCTGATCTCAAACTCAGATGGCTCCTCCTGCCTCAGCCTGAGTGCTGGGATTAAAGGTGTGCACCACCATGCCCAGCTTTGATCTATATTTCTAAAATGGACAGGCCAGCCCAAATTGGCTGTCCCCAAATGAGGTGGGCCAGGGAAGTAGGGGTTTGGTGATACTCAGACCGACTCATTATGTTCCAGGATTGTAGGCTGAACAGCTATTTTAGAAGCTTGAATAATGCAGTTGGAATCTTAGGTTAATGGTGGTAGCCAGTAGTTTTTGCAATAGTATTTTTTAAAATTAGTATATATTTGCAATATATAATATTCAGCTTGGGAAATTGGTACATATACCTACCACATCTTCATTATTTTTTAAAACTAGGAAAATTTATTGGGGAAGAGGAATGGGGGTTGTCAATGAGCCCACTTCTCAAACAAGTTTTATAAAGCAAAATCATGAAGTGGGTATTACATGCGTCCAATCTATAATCAACCAATAGGACTATAACTATAGCCGCTGGGCTAACACTGACCCCACTAGTAGCATCAAGGACATAGGGATGAGGTCATTAACCATGGGTGATAACCTATAGTCTTGGTAATATTAGTGGGTGGGAGATGATGGCTTAACCCCTAATGAGATAATGGTTTGTTTGTAACATTTCAAAAGAGTGGTATCAATAATCTCAAGCTTCTGTTTATCCTTTAGGGAAGTATGCAAATCTGACCATTGTGACTTAAATTTTCTTCAGATGTATCTCCAGCACATCTTAATCATTTACTTCCCCTTCTCCCCATCCTCAGCTTCCCTTTCCATCTCTAGTCTGTTTCCTACTTATCTCTTAATTTTTATTTGACACAGGGTCTCCCTACATAGCTCAGACTCAGTGATCCTCCTATCTCAGCCTTCCCAGTGCTGGGACTACAGGCATGTGCCACCCTATTTATCTTTTTAGTGTTATTCATATTTTAGACTTGGGCGAAGCCAGGTGGTATTCAACCTTCTGTGTCTGATTCATTCCACTGAGCATTACGGCCTCAAGGAGCATCCATTTCCTGGGACATCTTTTTGTTGGGCAGAGTAGCAATTTTTGAGCTCCCAGGTACTAGAACCTTTTGGCTTTACCTACTGCACGTAGGCAAGTGTAAGCAATGTCCTTATTGGGCCAACTGGACAGGTGCTTATTTGAGGCAGGGGCTCAGTATGTAGCCCCCTGGCCTCAAACTTTCGATGTTCCCCCTGCCTTAGTTTCCCTAGTACTGGGACTACAGGTATACGCTATCACACCTGGCAGGGACTGGTGCCCTTCGGAGTTAATGTAGTGTGTACCATGTAGCTAGGGATGGGCCTCTGGACAGGCCACAGGAAGGTTTCAATGGTCTGTCTTGCAAGAATGCCCCAACCAGTCCCTCTTATTCAATCTTGAATAGGAGGGACAGGGTTCCTGGGGCCTCAGCAAAATGAAGGTGGTAACTAGGCTCCTGAGGAAGGGTAGTAGCAGTGGCAGCAGAATTTGGAGAACAGCCCCTGCAGTCCTTCCTGCTCTATTCCACCCAGCTGTCACAGGTAGCTGCCTGTAATCCCTCTATGGGTCTCTGGACTACTGTAAAGCCATCAGACTGCACTGCACCCCTTTAGGTCTCCAGGAAGAATACCTCCAGTCAGCCTGTCTCTTTGCAAGTAACTTTTATTTTTATTTACAACAGAATTGGTGGCTTTATTCCTCCATCTTTATGGGTACTTGGCATCAGCAGCCAGACGGAAAGTCCGCGGTGAAGTCAAACTCGTTCTGCCCCAGCCACAGCTCCGGAAGCTCATTGGCTCGGTCCAGTCCCAGTTCCACCACCAGCGACATCAGCACTTCCTCATCCACTGGGTCAGAATCGATTATAGCAGGGCTCTGGGCACCAGCAGGAGAAAGGGTCCCCACTCCTCCCACCTGTGCTCCAAAGCCCCAGTTTTGCAGAGGCCCGGCTTCCCCAGACTGGTTGGGAGCAGCAGCAGCCATCCCATGATACTGGCTATTAAGTTTCTGCAGCTGCATACTAGCCAGCAGGTGAGGGGTGGGGTGCAGGTTGAAGGGTGGGGGCTTAGTGGGAGGGGTGGCAGTAGGAGAGCTTATTGGAGATGGGGATTCCGAGGTGCTAGTGGAAACCCCGCTGGCCTTGGTTCCATTGGAGGCCACCCCAGGGTAGTGTAGAATGGCCACTGCTTTTCGATCTTTCACCCCTAGGTTAGAGTAGGCCAGAGCATTCATCTCCGGATTGGCATCCTAGAAGACAAAAATGTACACCATGGGATCCTTGTTCCTGGCTTGTCCTCACCATTCACCAGGCCCAGTAGGCTCCTTCAGGCCACTTTATTTGGTACTACAGGTGGGGAGGCAGCAGGATGAGCCCCTGGAAAGTCGGGCTCTCAACCCACGTATGTGAGCAGAGATCAGACCCCAGTTCTAGTGGTGGGGCACACACCATTCTGAGTTGACAGCGTTCTTCTCCCTCCCAGGACTCTTCAACTCACTTTTCAAAAAAGGGCTTCCTCTTGTCCCTCTTCAGCCTCACTTTTATTTTATCTCTTTAACATGGTGGTTTTGTTCCATTTCTGCTTCTCTGCTCCCTTTCCCATCACCTTTCAATACCCACGGCAGGCTCAGTATGACCACACATAGGCAAAAACTATTCTCATTCTCCCCAGAGAAGGTCTTGCTGTCCTCTCTCTGCCAAGGACACTGGCTAGATATCACAGCTAGTGGGGCCTGGCCCGCTGTGATCCTCCCAACAGTTTGTCTTTTCTTGCCTCTTTTTCCAACTTCAAAATGCCAAAACTTACCTCCTTCACGGGGGAGGTGCCGCCCTTGACATCCAGTGCAGGCCTCGACATAGTTGGCATTTCAGAGTCTTGGCAGAAGAGGGATAAGCTGGAGGGAGGTGACGCTGTCAGCTGGAGCTGTTGCCCTGTGAGAGAGAAGAAATGGTAAGGGCAAAAGGCCTCACTGACCAAGAAAGCATTCAAGAAGCCCCAGGCAGGGAAGGTACCACACAGCTGCAAGGCAGAGTGACGACAGGGCTAAACCTAAGACCAGAGGCTGCTTGGCCTAAGGAAAGAGATCAAGCTGGAACCTGAGGCTGCATTGTGCTTGATTCAACCAGGTACTAGCCAGCCAGCTACGTGCATTATCAGGAAGTGACACATCTGATTACTCTTTTTTTTGACGGCACAGGGGATTGAACTCAGGACCTTGCATTTGCCAGGCAAGTGCTTATTCTACTGAGCTATCTCCCCAGCCCCCTGATTACTCTTCATGAAAGTAATTTAAGTGATTCCCAAGTTCTAAATTAGTGTTGCAGGTGGAAGCAGAGGATGGCATGGTCTGGGTTTCGAGGGCAGGAAGGTCCCTGAGTAAGCAGGGTACTGTGTCAGTGGACCACTGGTGTTCCAGCTGGAAGTTGAGGCCTCCACTGTGATTGGGGCAATGTGGGAAGCATTCAGGGCAAGGAAGATCTCAAAAGCTGGAGGCTGCAGCATGGGAAAACAAGTCCACAAAGCAAGCATCATGGGCACCACTTGGGGCACGTCTGTAATAAGCAGGGCCAAGCAGGGTGCTTTGGGGGCTCTGAGGCAGCAGGAGGCAGCGAGCATGTTTCCTGTGTATCTCAAGTGCCCCCTCTAATACCGCCCCCAGCATCAGGCTTTCTCAGCAGCCCAAGCCTAGCTGCACTCATCTGTACTGACAGGGGACAATAATTGTTCCTGGAGGGAAACTGAGGCATGGAGATACAATGGCCTTCCAGTCAGGAGCAGAATGTAGCAGTCCGCTGCCTCAACTTGATCACTGACCAAGTCCTCATACCTGGAATGAGTCAGATGCCTTCTGAACAAATGATTCTCTGGCTCAAATGCTGAAAAGATAAGATGAGGGCAAAGGGATACCCCCAGGCTAGAAAAATTTAAAAACTTCTGAATATTTGCAAGTTAATTTCCTAGAAGCTTCTTTTTAAAAGAGCTTTCATGGTCAATTAGAGATTTAGAATTCCACATTTATATAAAGACCTCTTGATCCAAAGACTCCTGAGGAGCTTAAAAGGAGTCTTTAATCTTTCCAAGGAGGGTAGCGGTCCCTGAGATAGTATCGCTCGCTCCAACTTTGGCCCGAGAGGTCAGTAGGGCCCTGCTCAGACACTTCTGGAAAGTGGCCACTTACTGCCTCTATCATGTCTGCGCTGACCACTTACTTGTGGCTGGGGGCAAGGAAAGCAAAGGGGAAAAACGCAAAGAAAAAAGTTGCTAGGGCTCGCAGGACTGTTTTGTCGGAGCCCTGCTCCTTCTGTGAGGCAGTTTTGTGAGGCAAACTCAAGTATTTCAAGCCAGCGATCACAAGACTAGGATTCGAAGGCATGCTCTCTTCTAAAACTGAGGCAAATTCACAGCAGGCAATTTGAGGTCTGTGAGAACAAACGCCCGGGAGCCCTGTGCATCTTTTCCCCTTCCTCTCCAACCTTCCTGTCTCCTTTAAGCAGCCTGGTACCTGAATGTACAAAACACCCCTCAAAATACCACAACAGCCACGCCAACGAGGGGTGAGCTGGGGGCCGCACGAGGAAAAAGTGGCGCGTGGCACCGGCACCATTTTACCGCGTCTCCCTCCGGTCGAGGTCTGCCCGCGCCCCGCTGCCCCGGCCGGCCCTTCCTGCCCGTCCCGTCCCGTCCCCACACACCGGCGGCCCGCACCGCAGCGGGCGCCACCCAGCCCGCCGTCCCACCGCGCGCTGACCCCCGCGAGGCGGCTGCCACCGGCGGCCGGGCACCCTGGAGCAACAAGTGTCTCCGCGCCGGCCGGCTCCCCGCCCCGCCTCCGCCCCAGACCCCGCCGCCGGGGGCGGCCGTCCCGGAGCCGCGGGGCGCTGAGGAGGTCGGCGCGGGCCCCCACTCTGCAAGCGGACCAAAAGTTAACATGGCCTCCCGCCGGAGGGTCCCGCGTCCCCTCCTGTTTTTCACTGAGGAGAAATTTAACAATTGAAACAACAGCGCGGCTTGGCGTGACCAGACCCCTCGGCTCGGCCACCTGAAAAGTAAAGGCCGGCTGTGCGCGGCCAGCCCGGCCGCCTCATCCCCGGAGAGCCGCCGGCGGCTGAGCGCATCCCGGCGCGGGGGGCGCAGGCCGCCGGGACCCGGGGCTCCGCGGCGCGCTCCCCTCACCGAACGGACCCCAGGGACGCAACGGGTGGCCAAGAGGGGCGCGGGGCTCGGCCGCGGCGGCGACAGCGCCCGCGCCGCTCAGCGAGCGGCCGCTGACAGAGCCTAACGGCTGCGGTCGGGGCGACCCGCTCTCCGCCAGAGGGGCTCTGAGAGGCGCGGCAACTTGCCCAAGGTCACAGCGCCGAAAGTGGCGGAGCCCGGCCCGCGGCTCGGGCTGTGGGGTCCGTGTCGGGCGCTCGCCGGCAGTGGCCGCGCGCTGCCCCCACCCGCCGACGGGGACAGAGGTGTGCGCGCGGGCAGCGCCCGGGGCGGCGGTGTCGCGGAGGCAAGTTGCCCTCGCTCGCCAACTTCCAGCCCGCAATTCCCCCGAACTCAGCCGGAAAAGCCGCTGCGCTGCCGGCCTGAGAGAAAGCTGAGCGGCGCGCACCCCCGGGCCGGCGCGTCCAAGGCGGTCGGGCGAGGAGCAAATTCGGTGGCCGCCGAGCCCGAGAAAGCGCGGGCGCGGGGCGGCGCGGCGCTGCAGGCGCCCTGAGGAGCGGGCGCTCGGGCCGGCGGCGGGCGCGCCAGCGGCGGCTGGGGTCCCTCCTCCCCGGCACAGCAGCCTCGCACCAGAAAACAAGTCCCCCGGAGCCCCCGGGCCGCCGGCCGCCGCCCTCCCGCCCGCAGCGCCTGCGCCACGGGACTCCTCAGCCCCGCCGCCCACCTCGGCACCCCATCCGGCCGCCCCGCTTACCTCCTCGAAGCCGCCTGCTCTGAGGAGCGCGGAGCGCGGCCGCCGGGAGGCGAGGGCTAAGCGGCGCAACCCCCGGCCCCCTGGCACGCACGCACGCTGCCGCCGCCGCCGCGAGCCGGTCGCGCTCTGTGCCCGCCGCTGCGCGGGTGGCCACCCGACCCCAGGGCGCCTGGGAAAAGCCCGCACCGCCGCACCGCGCCGCGCCAGGCAGCCCCGGCCCGCGCCCGCTCGCCCGCAGTTTCAGCACAGTACTCCTGGGCGGTGGCGGCGGCGGCCACCGCGCTCCCTTGGCCGCGCGAGGGACCCAGTTCTCAAGCCCCCATTGCCGCCCGGAGAGCCCTGACGCACACGCACACGGCGGCAGGCTGGCCTGGCCAGGAATCCCAGGAAGGACAGACCCTCCTCCCTTCTCTCCGCCTCCCCTCCGGTTCCACGTCTTTATAAACCTGCTCAGGGCATTATTAGCACATGTCCTGGCTCCCAGGCGAGTTGCGGGTAAAAGCTGAACTGGACACTCACGGAGGGCCTGCGGAGTGTGGTGCCTTCCTCTGTTCTCTTCCCCTCCGCCAGGAGCGGCCCAGGGTCGACGCGCTGTGGGAGGGCGGCCGGGCGGAACACGCCTCCTCTCCTGAGCTCAGCGGAGCCCCTTCTGCCGCGGTGCTGCTGGGGACATTTTTATAGCGGCGGCTGGCGTGCGTGGCCCTTTAAAGGCGCTCGAGCTGGTGCAGTCGCCGCGGACCGTGTGAAAGCGAAGGGCCGGCTGGGGAACGGAGTCCGCGCAGCCACTTCGGCCGGCCGGCCGTGGGGACGGGCCACGGCTCCGAGGACGGGGCTGGCGGGCCCGGCTTCGGGGCGCCCGCTGCCTGTGCCCCGACTCGCGCTCGCGCTTCGAAAGCCGCGGGGGGCCGGGCCCGGGCGGTGCGCTCTCCCCATCGCCCTGCATGGACTTGCCCAATAAATTCCACTTAGTAATTTCACTGAGGCGAGGGAGATCCGCTGGTGTCTGTTTTCTGACCTAAATCTAGCGGATGGCCAGAGCGGACTTCGGGTGTGAGGGAAAGAGCTGTGGGCTCGGGGGACGACCCGGAGGAGTGGGACGCAGCGTGCACCGCACGAGCCGCGCGGTCGTGCTTGCCTGCAGGGCTTGCGTGGAGCCTTTCTGCGCTGTCCTCCTGGGGCCGCACTGTCTACCTCATTAAGCGCCGAAGCTGAGGTCGGGAGTCCCGTTCCCTTAAAACGGTCAATCCTGGGCAGAGCCTTTCGGGGACGCTGTAGAGCAGTGGTGGCTTCCCCCAAAGGCCTGCGAACGGGTTGTGTGCAGGGTTTCTGTCCCGTGGCCACCCGAGACAGAAGGAGGCTGGCAGGATACTACGCTGAGAGATACTGCTCTGCCGGACCATAGGGCCAGGTGCAGCTCTTGCAGTCTGTGGGAAAGCCAAGAACAGGCAGCGGGGTTTGAAAAGCTGACCCCAGGGTTGGCAGACATCCCTCCTGCTTTTCCACAGTACCAGGTTGTTTTATTGATTACATAATTATTTCTGTCTAGCAAAAACATTCTGCATTTGGACTAGCTGGATTAGGATCTTATCTCACAAATCCTTACTAGAAAGGGATCTGGCTTTTTCATCTCAATTCATATTCCTCCTGATAAAAACTCCCACCCGACCTCTTACATGAAGGCCACCAAGATTACCCCTGTAATCACCTCCCTTCATTTTTCAGCCTTTCAGCAATAACTACAATTTTACACTTATTTATTTATAAAACATGCTCTTTTATAAAAGTCCCCAATGGCCAGGTTTGGTGGTGCAAGCCTGTGACCTCAGCTCTTGGGAGGCTGATGCCAGCATGGGCTACATAGTGAAACCCTGTCTCAAAAAAAAAAAAAAAAAAGAAAGAAAGAAAGAAAGAAAGAAAAGAAAAGAAAGGGCTGGGGAGATGGCTCAGTGGCATAAGCGCTTGCCTGGCAATCCCTTGCCTGTTCAATCCCCAGTTCCACCAAAAAAAAAAAAAGAGAGAAAATAGCAGGGCGTGATGGTGCACACCTATAATCCTACCACTGAGGAAGCTGATGCAGGAGCATTTCTATGAGTTCAAAGACAGCCTGAACTACACCCTGTCTCAAAACAAACAAACAAATAAGCAAACAGCGGCAACAAAAACACATTCAAAAGTCCCAATGTCAAGTAGAGGGGGAGTAATGTCAAGAAGTCATTTTTGCTGTGTATGTGGTCTGTCTTCTTAATTGGGTTTGAAGACCTGGCAGTCTTTTTCTTTCTTTTTTTAGTATTCCCAAGTGCCCTGCATTCGCTCTTCTAACAAAGTTGCTTCTTGACAAACTGACCACCTTATTGACCAAGACAGGGAGGAAACAAAGGGGCCAAACAAGGCTCTTCCGTGGCATGTGGAGGAGGTCCCTGGCAAGGTGCACCCATTGCTGGCCAAAAGCTGCCATGTGCGGCTCTATCTCATCCACTCGGCCCCAACACAAACTTGGATAACAATCACACCCTACAAATCACCATTGCACTTTTTCACTTTGCTCAAAGCTTGTGGGTCGCGCCTATTTTTCCCCTGATAGAAGGCAGGTTCTATGGTTGAGCCCCTAAATCCTTTTAGCGTTTGCACGTGTAAAACACAACCTCAAGCCCTCTTAGTGTTTGTCTGGATTGGGAAAAAGTGTTTTTTGCGGAAAGCAACTAGTGAGAAAGGCGCAGCTCTAGACTTTTGAACTGTGTGTTGCTCATTTGGCTCACCAGCCACCCTTCCCTTCAGCTCGATCAGGAGCCCTCGTGCAAGCGCATCAGGGTCTGGGCTGCAGGCTCCAGATCCAGGAGGTGCGGATCCGTCCTCCATCTATTGGATGGCTCCCAGGCCAATTGTTAGAAAGAGGCATATGTTCATCTCAGCTTCTGGAGTGTCTCCGGAGCAGTTGCTCAACAGCCAGCCCCCTCCCCCATCCGGACCATTGAAGGGCAAAAAAGGAGCGCCCTCCGTGCCCACAGGCCAGAAAGGGCCTCCCCACTGGTGACTTCCTGTCATCTCCATTGCCCACCTCCTGTGGAGCAGGAAAGAGAGGGGCTTTAAGCACTCAGGGTCGAGCACAAAAGCCACCTTTTTCTTTTGGGGGAGACGGGAGAGGAGGTTAGTTGCGGAGGCTGGAGAGGGAGCAAAGGAGACATTTGCATTTCTCAGCAAATATACCCTGGATCTCTGACTTCGCAGTGGCTCCAGCGGAGCTCAGAGCTCTCCAGCTGAACTCTTATCTCCAACTTGGCAAGTAGACCAGGGGCTCGCGAAGCAAGGAGAGAACAGGGCTGGTCACCCAGCAGGAACCCTCTGTACGCGGGCAATGGGCCTGGCGTGTTCCCATTCATCATCTCATTTAATTCCTAGGACAGCTCTGTGAGGTCGGGTTACCAAAGGTGAGACGGTCTGTGAGAAGTGCCAGAGTTCACGCAGCCAGGAGGCCAGGGGTTGAATCCAGATCAGGCTGGCTGCAAACTCTTTACCCTATAACCCTACACCCCGCTGCTTGGGAGGATAAAAAGAGTGCAAGGTCAGGGGTCAGTGGCCCGGGCTTAAATACCTACTTTGCCATTTGCTGACTGTGTGGTCTTGGCCAAGTGGCTCCATTTTGGGGGCTTCCTGTATTAATACGTGGCTCCATATGGGGAGCCCCATCTATTAATGATAAATGGCTGCATTTGGGGGGCCCCATCTATTAATGATAAATGGCTGCATTTGGGGGGCCCCATCTATTAATTGGCAATCATAATGGTACCTACTCTGTCAGGTTGTAAGCATCAGAGCTCAGGTTATTTGATGTGGACAGTGTACTAAGTGGCGAGTGAATGCTGGTATTTTACTGTGCTCTCTTCTCTGGTTCTTTACCTTTGGCCCCCTACCCCTGCCTCAGCACACATACTTCAGGTTCAATACTTGCTTATTGAGAAATTTAAAAATCAGATTGGGGATGAAGCAGATTTAATAATCTCAGGAAGGGGAAGGCGAGGAAAATGCAGATATGTTTTCAATATCCCACTCTAGAGTACCAAGGGTTGCATGAGACATGTGACTGGAGTAAATTTGGGACCAATAGAAAATGATCACGTGGGGCTAGGGAGATGGCTCAGTAGAACAAGTGCTTGCCTGAGTGCAAGGGCCTGAGTTCAAACTCTGATTCAACAACAAAAAAAAAAAAAAAAAAAAGGAAAAGAAAGAAAATGATCACTTTTTACAGGTCAGCCTATAAGCTTGAGGAATGGTCTCCAGAAATGTGGAATCAATATGTGTATGGAAGAGTTAAAAAGTCCTAGCTTGCTTGCTTTTTCAGAACCAGGGATTGAACTCAGGCCCTTGCGCTTGCCAGGCAAGTGCATATTGTATTGAGCTATCTCCCCAGCCCAGGGGCTGGGGAGATGGCTCAGTGGTCTAAAGCACCTACTTAGAACCAAGCTTAGCAAAGCACAGGGACCGCGGTTCAATCCCCCAGCACCACATGCCAGCCAGCCCCGCCCCCTGGTGGGCTGAGCTGGCCACACACACACACACACACACACATAAAATTAAAAAACAAACAAACAAAAAAAACCAAAACAAAACCAGTGCTACTAGGTGGTAAGCATTAGGAGTGACTTTTCTCTTTTTCTGCATGTAATGCAATATGATTATATTACTCTTTTTTTTTTGTTGTTGTTGCTCTATGCATTTATTTATTTATTTATTTTTAAAGTTTATTGTGTGTGTGTGTGTGTGGCCAGCTCAGCCTACCAGGGGGCGGGGCTGGCTGGCATGTGGTGCTGGGGGATTGAACCACAGTCCCTGTGCTTTGCTAAGCTTGTTCCAAGTAGGTGCTTCAGACCACTGAGCCATCTCACCAGCCCATCTATGCATTTATTTTTAGCTGTTATTAATGCAGGAAGGGGACAAAAAGCTCACAATCTACAAAATTTCACAAGATGCGCTTTTCGCAGGGAAAGTAACAGATATAGACCAACAGTAACTTAGGGTCTTGGTGGATGCATTCCTGGGGAGGTGGACCTCTGAAGCCCAGTGGAGGGGGTCTCATTCCTGGAGGGGCATGCCTATTGGTATCCCTTGAGCAGGAGGAAGCCCAATAGGCAGACCATGGTATGGGTGGCCTCATACCAGGTGGAGGAGCCATAATACCTGGAGGTGGAGTCGTTCTGCCTGCAGGAGAAGGTGGAGCCCCCTTCCTGGTGGGTACTGGGTGAGAGCTCCAGCAATGCTGCCAATTGCAGCCACAGCAGCAGTACCTCTTCCCTGTGGAGTCATTACCTGTTGGGATAGACCCCCTCCTCCTCGGACAGGGCCTGCTAAGCCTGCAGGAGCCTAGGGAATTGGTACACAGCTGGTATACTTTTGCCAGCTGCCCTCCCATCCCTGGGACCTCCTGCAGCTTCAGCAAGTGGTACCTGAGCAATGCCAGTATCCTTACGGGGTGGCCCTTCCACAGTCATGGACACCAAGCTCTCCCCACAGAGCAAGACCGAACCCCAACTCTCTTCTCTTCACTCTCTGGCTGTCTTGTATTCTTTGGCTTGATCTTCCTGAACTCATCGCAGTCACAGAGGATCGAATTTATGTGCTTGTCAAAAGCCTTGAAGGTGCCGATGAAGATGCGGCCATCCTGCAGGATGCAGCGCATATGGTCG